TACTCTGCAATTCACCTTAACCAGTGGTTACCAACCAGTGGATCTTGATTCATTGGCAGATCTCAGAGCCTCTTGGAGTTGATCTGAGGCTGGGGTGTGGGGGCCAAGTGCCCGTGTGCATGCTTGCACATGCCCCAGACCAGCAGGTCAGTCCGTGGGGGAGGGAAGGGGCAGGAGCTAGATCAAGGCCCCTGCAGTGAGGGACAGTGCTCAAGAGGCAGGAGCAGCAATAAGTTGAGTGGGGCCCCAGCCAGGTGGGACTTATCTGCTGGGGAGGCATGCTCCCAAATAATTTTTTCTCCCTATGCCTCAATCTGTGCCTCCCCTCCCCCCTTCTCTCCCCACAGACTTACCTGCTGGGTGGGGGAGGGGTGGCAGCAGCATATGGTAGATCTTGGGTTGCTTTAAAATGCCAAAGGTGATCTCCTACTTAAAAAAAGGTTGGAGACTACTGACTTAAATCAACATGCATCACTTTATTTTCCAGCATTCCTTCCTAGCCCTTCCTCAGGATCAGTTTATGGCCTTCAACCATAATTTATTTTGCAGAACCTTCCATGGCTAATGCAAATTTGTGAAAGTAGAACCAGGTATACTGTAATTTCTTTACACTGCGGGCATGAGTACTATTGATCATAAGCACAGGTAGGCAATCTCACATCAAACACTACAGCCTATCCACTAGCACTAGCTGCTTCTATCACTTTCTATTTGATTGTTTCACACAGGTTCTGACATCTCCCTCATCACCATGGTTTCTCATGTGAGCTGTATAAGATCCTACACAAATTGGTAGATGTTCTGAGTGATAAATTGCAAAGTTTCTTTTTGTCTGAACTGAAACTGATCCTTAAACTTGGAGATCAGACAAGAAGCAACAGCAATGTTGGAAAGCAACTTGCACAGCCAATGTCTGTACTGGGCTTTTTCCTATAGTAACATAAGGTATTGCAGTTCAGTGATTTCAAACAAAAATCTTTCACTTTGAATAATTTTTAATGACATCTGTATTTTATGAAGATGGAAGGACAGTATCAGGAATCTGATCTGACTTAGAGGGATGTACCTCAGAAGTAATTCTTCTTAGATTAACAGAGTTGCACCACAGAACTACCAGCATAACTGGAGGCTCAACCAAATCTATCATGGGAAAATTTTCTCCACATTTTTTCTACCCCTCAGCTAACCACAGTGCAGAACATAAACAGGCAAGTATTTTGTCACTGGTGTTTATGATGTGCCATTCTCCCAGAGCCTAGAGTGTAAGGTGAAGTTTGTTTTATTTGCAAAAAGATTTAAGATGAGTTTGATAACTTTTTCTTTGGCAGATAAAACACTGGAGACAACTGACCAGGGAAAACCAAAGCTGCATGACTGAATTTATATTCCTGGGTCTCTCCAGTGAGCCAAGGGTAGAGGCTGTTCTTTTCATGGTGTTTCTGGTGTTCTACCTGCTCACTGTGGTTGGCAACATCATCATAACTACAGTTATCAGAATAGACCCTCAGCTCCATGTGCCCATGTACTTTTTCCTCATCAATCTGTCCTTCTTAGACATCTGCTACATCTCAACCAACGTCCCACAGATGCTGGTGAATCTGTTGTCCAGGAAAAAGACTATATCCTTCATGGGTTGTGCTGTTCAGATGTATTTGTCTTTGGCCTTTGGCATGACTGAGTGTTTCCTGCTTGGAGTCATGGCTTACGACCGGTATGTGGCAATATGTCATACATTGCAATACAGAGTTATCATGAATAGGAAGGTCTGTGCTCAGATGGCTGTCATGTCCTGGACCTGTAGTCTGCTCAGCTCCATGGTAATCAATGTCATGACCCTGAGGTTGCCCTTCTGTGGGCCCAACACCTTGAACCACTACTTCTGCGAGGTGCCAGCTGTGCTGACCTTGGCTTGCACTGATACTTCCCTCACTGAAATGGTGGTTTTCATCTTCAGCATACTCATTGTTTTCATCCCTTTCCTCCTGATTGTTGTCTCGTACATCTGTATTCTCTCAGCTATCCTGCAGATCCACTCAGCCCATGGAAGAGCCAAAGCCTTCTCTACATGTGGATCACACCTGACTGTTGTGACCTTGTTCTATGGGACAGCCATCTTCATGTACATGCGACCCAGGTCCCAATCCTCACGGGACAGGGACAAAGCGATTGCTGTGTTCTATACCATTGTAACTCCCATGCTCAATCCCCTGATCTACACTCTGAGGAATAAGGAGGTGAAAAGGGCCTTAAGGAGAATGGTCATTAGACACAGATTTTCAAGGAGGATGTGAGACACTTACTGGATCTGGTGTTAAACTTGAGTCACTCGATATGATTATTCCTTTGTACTGAGGTAGGACACCTTCCCCAAAAGATGGCCCCTTCTCCAAAGTGCTTATGCCCCAGCAGCCTTACCTGAGGTCCTGGGGGCTTCCTGAGGATGCAGAAGCAATGATTCTGCAGCACAGATTCTGGCCAGCAGCTGCAGTGTGGCTCTGGCCAGCCCCACTCTGGTTTTGAGCGGTGCACGCTGCCCATGCATGTGCCATTCCGCTTCTTTTTCTGCAGGTTTTTTTTTACCCCTGGATATCCAGGGGTCAACAAAACCCTCCATGCTGCTCCATTGCAGCACAAAGGACAATGGAATGTGTAGTATGTGGTGCTGCAGACGTGTCTGTAGCGCCACATACCACATCACTCTGCTCATTTGGACATGGCCTATGAGCGTAAGAAAAGAGACAACAGGTGATCATGGACAGACAGGTGGGTGAATACAAGGAAACAATGAGATCATGTTGCTCTGTATGATGGTTCAAGTTTCCCTTGCTTTATGCGGGTTCTGTATGTGAATTCACTCTTATGCAATGATCCTTTTTATACTCAAAATACATTATATGCGTGGTAAATTACCTCTTATGCAATTGGCAGCAGGCAAGTCTATGGGTGGAGGGGAAAGGACCATGGGTGGAAGGGCAGATCGAGGCCCCAGTGAGGCTGCTGGGGGGGCTGCAGCCACTCCAAAATTTGCTGTAGCACCCCCTACCCCTCTCCCAGTACCACTGGTGCCAGCCCTGAGTGCAATGTGGCTCAATCCCCCTGCCAGGAAGAGCCCAGCGTGGATCTTGGCCCTAGCCCAGAGTGATCTCCTACTTAAAAAAAGGTTGGAGACTACTGACTTAAATCAACATGCATCACTTTATTTTCCAGCATTCCTTCCTAGCCCTTCCTCAGGATCAGTTTATGGCCTTCAACCATAATTTATTTTGCAGAACCTTCCATGGCTAATGCAAATTTGTGAAAGTAGAACCAGGTATACTGTAATTTCTTTACACTGCGGGCATGAGTACTATTGATCATAAGCACAGGTAGGCAATCTCACATCAAACACTACAGCCTATCCACTAGCACTAGCTGCTTCTATCACTTTCTATTTGATTGTTTCACACAGGTTCTGACATCTCCCTCATCACCATGGTTTCTCATGTGAGCTGTATAAGATCCTACACAAATTGGTAGATGTTCTGAGTGATAAATTGCAAAGTTTCTTTTTGTCTGAACTGAAACTGATCCTTAAACTTGGAGATCAGACAAGAAGCAACAGCAATGTTGGAAAGCAACTTGCACAGCCAATGTCTGTACTGGGCTTTTTCCTATAGTAACATAAGGTATTGCAGTTCAGTGATTTCAAACAAAAATCTTTCACTTTGAATAATTTTTAATGACATCTGTATTTTATGAAGATGGAAGGACAGTATCAGGAATCTGATCTGACTTAGAGGGATGTACCTCAGAAGTAATTCTTCTTAGATTAACAGAGTTGCACCACAGAACTACCAGCATAACTGGAGGCTCAACCAAATCTATCATGGGAAAATTTTCTCCACATTTTTTCTACCCCTCAGCTAACCACAGTGCAGAACATAAACAGGCAAGTATTTTGTCACTGGTGTTTATGATGTGCCATTCTCCCAGAGCCTAGAGTGTAAGGTGAAGTTTGTTTTATTTGCAAAAAGATTTAAGATGAGTTTGATAACTTTTTCTTTGGCAGATAAAACACTGGAGACAACTGACCAGGGAAAACCAAAGCTGCATGACTGAATTTATATTCCTGGGTCTCTCCAGTGAGCCAAGGGTAGAGGCTGTTCTTTTCATGGTGTTTCTGGTGTTCTACCTGCTCACTGTGGTTGGCAACATCATCATAACTACAGTTATCAGAATAGACCCTCAGCTCCATGTGCCCATGTACTTTTTCCTCATCAATCTGTCCTTCTTAGACATCTGCTACATCTCAACCAACGTCCCACAGATGCTGGTGAATCTGTTGTCCAGGAAAAAGACTATATCCTTCATGGGTTGTGCTGTTCAGATGTATTTGTCTTTGGCCTTTGGCATGACTGAGTGTTTCCTGCTTGGAGTCATGGCTTACGACCGGTATGTGGCAATATGTCATACATTGCAATACAGAGTTATCATGAATAGGAAGGTCTGTGCTCAGATGGCTGTCATGTCCTGGACCTGTAGTCTGCTCAGCTCCATGGTAATCAATGTCATGACCCTGAGGTTGCCCTTCTGTGGGCCCAACACCTTGAACCACTACTTCTGCGAGGTGCCAGCTGTGCTGACCTTGGCTTGCACTGATACTTCCCTCACTGAAATGGTGGTTTTCATCTTCAGCATACTCATTGTTTTCATCCCTTTCCTCCTGATTGTTGTCTCGTACATCTGTATTCTCTCAGCTATCCTGCAGATCCACTCAGCCCATGGAAGAGCCAAAGCCTTCTCTACATGTGGATCACACCTGACTGTTGTGACCTTGTTCTATGGGACAGCCATCTTCATGTACATGCGACCCAGGTCCCAATCCTCACGGGACAGGGACAAAGCGATTGCTGTGTTCTATACCATTGTAACTCCCATGCTCAATCCCCTGATCTACACTCTGAGGAATAAGGAGGTGAAAAGGGCCTTAAGGAGAATGGTCATTAGACACAGATTTTCAAGGAGGATGTGAGACACTTACTGGATCTGGTGTTAAACTTGAGTCACTCGATATGATTATTCCTTTGTACTGAGGTAGGACACCTTCCCCAAAAGATGGCCCCTTCTCCAAAGTGCTTATGCCCCAGCAGCCTTACCTGAGGTCCTGGGGGCTTCCTGAGGATGCAGACGCAATGATTCTGCAGCACAGATTCTGGACAGCAGCTGCAGTGTGGCTCTGGCCCGCCCCACTCTGGTTTTGAGCTCTGTAGCGCCACATACCACATCACTCTGCTCATTTGGACATGGCCTATGAGCGTAAGAAAAGAGACAACAGGTGATCATGGACAGACAGGTGGGTGAATACAAGGAAACAATGAGATCATGTTGCTCTGTATGATGGTTCAAGTTTCCCTTGCTTTATGCGGGTTCTGTATGTGAATTCACTCTTATGCAATGATCCTTTTTATACTCAAAATACATTATATGCGTGGTAAATTACCTCTTATGCAATTGGCAGCAGGCAAGTCTATGGGTGGAGGGGAAAGGACCATGGGTGGAAGGGCAGATCGAGGCCCCAGTGAGGCTGCTGGGGGGGCTGCAGCCACTCCAAAATTTGCTGTAGCACCCCCTACCCCTCTCCCAGTACCACTGGTGCCAGCCCTGAGTGCAATGTGGCTCAATCCCCCTGCCAGGAAGAGCCCAGCGTGGATCTTGGCCCTAGCCCAGAGCAGCAACCTGTGGCAGCTGGAGCCATGCCCCCCATCTTGTGCCCCACCCCAGCTGTGCAGTGCCTACCTCTGCTCCAGCCCCAGCCCCAGCCCCATTCCCTCCCTCACCACCGGTGGGGGTGCAAATTGAGGCCCCACTCACCCCAGCCCCTGGGGCCGGGCTCTCCCTTGTGTGGAGGTTGGGTCATACTGCACTCAGGGCAGGTGCTGGTGCTGGGAAGTGGGTCGGGGGGTGCTACGGCAAATTTTGGGGTGTCTGCAAACCCCCCTGGTAGCCCCATCCCAGCATCACCACCACCCACTGCGAGCGCAGCCCAGCCCAGACCCCCATGAGGAAGAGCCCAACATCACCCCAGCCCCAGCAGACTTATCTGCTGCCAATGCAGTCGAGGTCTTGGAACATATCCCTATTTGTTACCTTGTAAAGTGGGTTCCCTTTATGCGAATCTGAGTTATGCACAGTTTTTCATGAACACATCTACCCCATAAAGCAAGGAAAACCTGTATTCTCCATATGTCATCTTCCTAGCTACTGTCAAGTGTTTGGGAGGCATCCCCTTTGTACAGAGAGGTCTTATAGATTCCATCTGTGCAAGCAGGCAGGCAGATTCTCTTGTAGCATTGTCCCTTAGTAAAATTCAAGGACTCAAGGGAGGATCAATGTAAAAGTGGAAATGTTTGTCACCACTTTTGATCAAACTCCAGGTTTGTAGTAAAATATAGTATTTTACCCTACAAGGACTGTTTAGGGGCCCATGTGAAATGGGCTTGGATTTCTCAGTCCAGCGATCACAGGGCATGATAGTCAACTTGATTTCAAAAGTTTAACACAATGGATGATCTTGAGCAAAGAGGCTATTGTTTGAATAAGTCAGGCAATATAAGTTCATGGCTTTGTGCCAGTTCTGTGCATAAATGGAGCTATTCTGAACATGGTTTCATGAACTAGTCACAGCAAGGTAAGCTAGAAGGTGAGTTTAATACATATCAGTTACTTCAGGTTAACTGTCCTTGTCTACGCTTTTACTTCACAGTAGGTGCACCTACATGAGACATTACCTGGAGAGTAGACTAATTAGCTCCACAATAAACATCACATATCTATGCATGTGCCCCTATTAGGCTGGAGTAAACTAATTAACTCCACAGCAGGATAGTGCTTATAAATACAAGCACTATCCTGATCAGTTTTTTACTCCATAGCAGCGCACGTGTAGATGCTGTCCTGGCTGACTAGGGCATGAGGGTGCTTCAGTGCATGGGCTGCCTGCTGGGTAGCCAACAGTGGAGCATCCTTGTGCCCTAACTACAAAATTATTGGGATAGAGGTAGGAGGACCCTCTTTCTCCTTCCCCACCTGTTTGGTTGGGTTTGGTTTGGCGGGGGGGGAGTTGTTCTGTTTTTTAAGTTTTAAGATATACATAACAATGTGTGTGTGTCTAGTCACATCTATTCCATGTGAACCCCTGTATGGCTAGGGTGGAGCCTACTGCATACCCTGAAAAAGGAAGTGCAAGGTGTGTGTAAATAGAATCCAGCATGGGCGTAAGTGCTAAAAAGTGCATTTATGTGACCATGTAGCA